GGTGGTAGTGGTAGTAGTAGTGGTAGTAGTAGTGGTAGTAGTAGTAGTGGTGGTAGTAGTGGTGGTAGTGGTAGTAGTGGTAGTAGTGGTAGTGGTAGCAGTGGTAGCAGTGGAAGTAGTGGTAGTGGTGGTAGTGTGGTAGTAGTAGTGGTAGTGGTAGTAATAGTGGTAGTAGTGGTGGTGTATAGTAGTAGTGGTGGTGGTAGTAGTAGTATGGTGGGTAGTAGTAGTAGTGTAGTGTAGTAGGTAGTAGTAGTAGTGGTAGTAGTAGTAGTGGTGGTAGTAGTAGTGGTGGTAGTAGTAGTGGTGGTGTAGTAGTGGTGTAGTAATAGTAGTGGTAGTAATAGTGTAGTAATAGTAGTGGTAGTAGTAGTGGTAGTAATAGTAGTGGTAGTAGTAGTGGTAGTAGTAGTGTTAGTAGTAGTGGTAGTAATAGTAGTGGTAGTAGTAGTGGTAGTAATAGTGGTAGTAATAGTAGTGGTGGTAGTGGTAGTAGTAGTAGTGGTAGTAATAGTAGTGGTAGTAATAGTAGTGGTAGTAATAGTGGTAGTAATAGTAGTAGTAGTAGCAGTAGTAGTGGTAGTAATAGTGTAGTAGTAATAGTGTAGTAGTAGTAATAGTGTAGTAGTAATAGTAGTGTAGTAGTAATAGTGTAGTAGTAATAGTGTAGTAGTAATAGTAGTGTAGTAGTAATAGTAGTGTAGTAGTAATAGTAGTGTAGTAGTAATAGTAGTGTAGTAGTAATAGTAGTGTAGTAGTAATAGTAGTGTAGTAGTAGTAATAGTGTAGTAGTAGTAATAGTAGTGTAGTAGTAGTAATAGTGGTAGTAGTAATAGTAGTGTAGTAATAATAGTAGTGTAGTAATAATAGTGTAGTAGTAATAGTTAGTAGTAGTATAGAGTGTAGAGTAGTAATAGTGTAGTATAGTAATAGTAGTGTAGTAGTATAATAGTGGTGTAGTAGTATAGTAGTGTAGTAGTAATAGTAGTGTAGTAGTAATAGTAGTGTAGTAATAATAGTAGTGTAGTAGTAATAGTAGTTTAGTAGTAGTAATAGTAGTGTAGTAGTAATAGTAGTGTAGTAGTAATAGTAGTGTAGTAATAATAGTAGTGTAGTAGTAATAGTTTAGTAGTAGTAATAGTAGTTGAGTAGTAGTAATAGTAGTGTAGTAGTAATAGTAGTGTAGTAGTAATAGTAGTGTAGTAGTAGTAATAGTAGTGTAGTAGTAGTAATAGTAGTGTAGTAGTAATAGTAGTGTAGTAATAATAGTAGTGTAGTAGTAATAGTAGTGTAGTAGTAATAGTAGTGTAGTAGTAATAGTAGTGTAGTAGTAGTAATAGTAGTTTAGTAGTAGTAATAGTGTATTAGTAGTAATAGTAGTGTAGTAGTAGTAATAGTAGTGTAGTAGTAATAGTGTAGTAATAATAGTAGAGTGTATAGTAAGTAACTAGTTTGAGTAGTATAATAGTAGGTGAGTAGTAGTAAAAGTAGTGTATAGTATAGTAATAGTAGTGTAGTAGTAGTATAGTGTAGTAGTAAGATAGGTAGTAGTGAGTAATAATAGTGTAGTAGTAATAGTAGTGTAGTAGTAGTAATAGTAGTGTAGTAGTAATAGTAGTGTAGTAGTAGTAATAGTAGTGTAGTAGTAATAGTAGTGTAGTAGTAGTAATAGTAGTGTAGTAGTAATAGTAGTGTAGTAGTAATAGTAGTGTAGTAGTAATAGTAGTTTAGTAGTAGTAATAGTAGTGTAGTAGTAGTAATAGTAGTGTAGTAGTAGAATAGTAGTGTATAGTAGTAATAGTAGGTAAGTTGGTAGTATAATATAGTGTAGTAGTAATAGTAGTGTAGAAATAGTAGTATAATAGTGTGTAGTAGTAATAGTTGTAGTAGTGTAGTGTAGTAGTAATAGTAGTGCGAGTATAATAATGTAGTAGTAAAGTAGTTTAGTAGTAATAGTAGTGTAGTAGTAATAGTGTAGTAGTAATAGTAGTTTAGTAGTAATAGTAGTGTAGTAGTAATAGTAGTGTAGTAGTGTAGTAGTGAGTAGTATAGTTGAGTAGTAGTAATAGTAGTGTAGTAGTAATAGTAGTTGTAGTAGTAGTAGAGATATGTAGTGTAGTAGTAGTAATAGTAGTGTAGTAGTAGTAATAGTAGTGTATGTAGTATAATTGTAGTGTAGTAATAATAGTAGTGTAGTTAGTAATAGTAGTGTAGTAGTAATAGTAGTGTAGTAGTAATAGTGTAGTAGTAATAGTAGTGTAGTAGTAATAGTAGTGTAGTAGTAGTAATAGTAGTGTAGTAGTAGTAATAGTAGTGTAGTAGTAGTAATAGTAGTGTAGTAGTAGTAATAGTGTAGTAGTAGTTAATAGTAGTTAGTAGTAGTAATAGTAGTGTAGTAGTAGTATAGTATGTAGTATAGTAATAGTAGTGTAGTAGTAGAATGTAGTGTAGTAGTAGTAATTGTAGTGTAGTAGTAATAGTGTGTATAGTTAGTAATAGTAGGTAGTAGTAGAATAGTAGTGTAGTAGTAGTAATAGTAGTTATTAGTATAGTATGATAGTAATAGTAGTTAGTAGTAATAGAGTGTAGTAGTAAATAGTAGTGTAGTAGTAGTAATAGTAGTTGTAGTAGTAGTAATAGTAGTGTAGTAGTAATAGTAGTGTAGTAGTAGAATAGTAGTGTAGTAGTAATATATAGTGTAGTAGTAGTAATAGTAGTGTAGTAGTAGTAATAGTTGTGTAGTAGTAGTATATAGTGAGTGTGTTTGTTTTAGTATGTAGTGTATGTAATTAGTAGTAACTAATCACAGTTAGACGTGACATAGTTTTTTTTTAGTTTATTTGTATTTATTAGTGCCTGTTCAGATAGTAATATTTGTATTATCAGTACGTATAGATTTTCTATCACAAATTATATGAAATGTACTAATAGTCTCATATAATATAGTATTATGAAAGTATGATAATTATTAGTTTAGTGTTTTGTGTGTGTGTGTGTGTGTCTGTGATGGTGTGTGTTGTGTGTTGTGTGTGTGTAACATTCAGCAGTAGACAGCCATCAATTGACACTCCATTTGCTTAGTATCTTTTCGTCTTCTTCTGTCCTAGTAAATCCTTCTACTTCTTAGTTTGACTCAAATCCTCTAGATTTTTCGAAGCATCCAGATGAGCATCCAGGAAATGTAATATATTGTCTCTATATAATCTCCTAGACCTTGAACTTACCAGCTCCAGTTATGATTCTTTGTAGCTTGGGTCATATGTACTGTTTGTGACATCTTTGAAGGCAGTCTGTCTCTCTTTTTCAACATCATGGAGAGAGAGTTTTGAAAATTTTCATCCTGATGGAGTTTCTTTAATTCTGGCCCTGTAATATTTTTTTTTGAGTTTGCCATGCCACAGACGGATGCTTTTTTCCCCTTCAGATCAGTGAACACCAAAACGAAATAATTCCTACGTACCTTTTGTCTACTGCATTAATTCTATGACACAAGCTGAGCAGACATTATGGAGAGTCCATGATTTGTCCTGGTTTCCAGCTTTCTCTCCATAATATCCGTAGTAAGCTTCTCTTTTTTTGACAAATTGTATAATATTTGTCTGTTACTTAATTATAAATTTACCACAATGAAAATAAGTCACTTAGACTTTTTTGGGTTATCCCAGGTTCTCTACACATATGCTGCTCTGTATGATAATCTACGTAACTGTATTTGTGTGTACCCGAATAAACTTACTTATTCCTAGAGTTAACACAGCCTTGTGTAGCCATCGTCGTAAGTATCACAGCTCCACTCAGAAACTAAAGTACAGTATATACATGTACTAAACCAAATCACAAATACAATACACGTTCACACACTGCAGACACTTAGTGTACGGACAGCTCTCAGCCTCGTCGAGTGCCCTTCACCCTCTCTCCCTCATAACCTCTCTCCCTCAACCCACATTCATGTTAACACCTCTTACTGATAAGTAACAGTGGTAACACTACACTGTCTTCTCCTGGACAACAACTGTACGCGATACATAATTCTGAGCATTGTTTATTGAAGTGAGAGCATCGAAACTAGCAATAAATCTTATGTAGAGATATTTCATTTATTTAATTTAATCATGGAGGAAGCCATCAACACGTAGGTGTCATATGGTGCCTGGGGAATGGAAGTACTCAGATTCCATCCAAAGAACAGGAGCGGAAGCCCACTTCCTTGGATCAAGAGCACCTCACCAGCATTAAGGCATTTATCTCTCCTGAGAGGAAGCAAATAAATTTGTCGTAGGCTTCTGTTATCAACATTATCCTCTTGATCTGCCTCATTATCGGTATTATTGCTATCATTTTTTCCGTTATTCATATTTTTATAATTGGAATTGATAAACCCCTAAGTGACGTGGGGAATGGAGGAAAGTGTGGGTAGCTTCAATTCTGTGGATCAAGAGCCCGTCATTAGATACAGCATCCCTCGTCTCCTTACAAGGATATTATTTATTAGTGTGAGTCTTGTCTGCTGTGGGTCTTTGAGCATTCAGTTACTGGTACAAGGCTGATGTTGCAGACTTGTAATGTAATCTTACGTTGTAGTTATATGTTGTATTAGGATGCTACATCCTGACCTTGTAATGTTATGTTCAAGAACTATGTATTAGTCTTAGGGTGTAGTCGTATTTTGAAGCTTTATGTTGTAGGCTTATTGTTATATATTGTAGCCTGATGTCGTAGATTTGTTTTCTACTTATATTGCTAACGTCTGTATTGACTTATGGTTTTGTCGTATACTGCAGTCTTGTGTTGTAAACTTATGTTGTAGCCTTAGCCTGAGGACTTACACTCTATAATTATGTTGTAATTTAAAAATGTTAAAAATATCTTATAAATTTACGTTGTATTCTTAAGCTGTAGAATTGCGTTAAAAACATAATGTTGAGGTTTTATATTGTAGATATAAGAATGCAATTGAATTTTTCCTGGAGGCCTTATATTCTGCTCTTTTGATGCAGACTTCATGTACTGGGAAGACGGAGGTGATGACTACCATCCCCTGGAAGGTTCACTGCTGCCACTCTGGAAGTTTGCCACAGACACCAGCAGATCTCTGGTCGTCTCTGATGTCTGCTGGAGCCCTGTTTACCGTGACCTCTTTGCTGCCTCTTACACTACTGGTAGGTAGCTGTCCTGTAGAACATTGAATGTATGGATATTAAGAAGCTTGTTCATAACTACTTTCTCTTCCGGCTACACATGCCAGTGAGAGGCTGGCAAAGCAGCCTCTGTTGTGACAATAGCACCGTCTTGCTTCTTTGATGGAGCTTCCCCCGGTCTCATGGCTTCTTCCTTGTCGAGGGCTATTTTTCTTAAGGAACGGTGACTCAAAAAAGGATAGCATTAGTCATTCACATATTGTCTTGCCAGTTTTTAAAAGCTTTTAAATTCATAAGTAGAAAAAGTATATCAATAAAGTTTTCACGGTAGGGGGAAACAAAGATATTCTTGGTTGAATATGATTATCCTTTATTGGATTGTAAAATGCATTTCAATGTATTATCAATTAAATATTTTGAGTATTTTAGATCATTAGATATTTCATAAATATTTCTAATGATCTAAAATACCCAATATACTTAATTGATAAATCCTTTAAAAATGCTAGAAATATATTTTACAATTCAATAAATGACAATCATATTTAACCCAGAATATGTTGGTTCTCCCTTACCAAGAAAACTTTCCTGATATACCGTCTCTACTTATGAATTTGATTTCCCAGCCCTGTTTACCAAAGTCCTTGTCCCTGACTTGTTTACGTACCTTGAAGAGGAAATGGAAAACTGTTTGAACTACCCCATTTGATTATTGAACCGATTAAAGTGTGTTCCTGATTTCAAGTTGGTGTTTGAAGATAAGCATTATGCTCAAAATCAAGGCATGGCCATGGGAAATCCCCTCAGCACGTTACTCAGCGACCTGTATGTGGAATTCAATGAGACTAGACTCTTGAAAGATATTTTAATAAATATTGCTAGGTGATTTAGATGTGTAGATAATGTTCTTTGTCTTTGGTCTAGTGATCACAACACAGATGAGTTCCTGCCTAGACTCAGTGGTCTGGTACCTTCCATTAAGTTCACAACAGAGCATGAAATAGACAACACTACCATTCCTAGATGTTTTAATCTATCGTATCGACAGAAAAATCAAATTTACTGGTCAAATTAGCAAGAACTCATTTAAAATTAAGTCCTTTCTAAAATTTTCTCATACACATTTAAAAATATATTTTTCATTTATGTTAATATAAAAAAAATGATTTTGTACCAAAAGAATCTTAGGAAACTTACCCAACCTAAATATATTTTACAATAATTTAATAATAAACGAACACATCTTGTTCCTCATCCTCATATCTGACATAGACAAGGATGTCAGCCACAGCACGGTGTCTTCCTTTGCAGATGACACCCGAATCTGCATGACAGTGTCTTCCATTGCAGACACTGCAAGGCTCCAGGCGGACATCAACCAAATCTTTCAGTGGGCTGCAGAAAACAATATGAAATTCAACGATGAGAAATTTCAATTACTCAGATATGGTAAACACGAGGAAATTAAATCTTCTTCAGAGTACAAAACAAATTCTGGCCACAAAATAGAGCGAAACACCAACGTCAAAGACCTGGGAGTGATCATGTCGGAGGATCTCACCTTCAAGGACCATAACATTGTATCAATAACATCTGCTAGAAAAAGGGACAGGATGGATAATGAGAACCTTCAAAACTAGGGATGCCAAGCCCCTGATGACACTCTTCATGTCACTTGTTCTTCTAGGCTGAATTTATTGCTGCACACTAACAGCACCTTTCAAGGCAGGTGAAATTGCTGACCTAGAAAATGTACAGAGAACCTTCACGGCGCGCATAACGGAGATAAAAACACCTCAATTACTGGGAGCGCTTGAGGTTCCTAAACCTGTATTCCTGGAACCAGGCGGGAGGATACATGATTATATACACCTGGAAAATCCTAGAGGGACTAGTACCGAACTCGCACACGAAAATCACTCACTACGAAAGCAAAAGACTTGGCAGACGATGCAACATGAAAAGCAGGGGTGTCACTAGCACGTTAAGAGGCCATCAATAAGTGTCAGGGGCCCGAGACTGTTCAACTGCCTCCCAGCATACATAAGGGGGATTACCAACAGACCCCTGGCAGTCTTCAAGCTGGCACTGGACAAGCACCTAAAGTCGGTTCCTGACCAGCCGGGCTGTGGCTCGTACGTTGGTTTGCGTGCAGCCAGCAGTAACAGGCTGGTTGATCAGGCTCTGATCCACCAGGAGGCCTGGTCACAGACCGGGCCGCGGGGGCGTTGACCCCCGGAACTCTCTCCAGGTAAACTCCAGGTAAACACAATGAAATATATTTTTCTTGTAAGATTCAGAATGATTTTTACTAAAATTATTGCATACACAAATTTTCGCCTACCCTATCAGGCATAAAGAGCGTTGCTATTTAAGCGAAAATCGAAAGTTTTGCCTATTCAGCACAACGCGCGCACACACACACACACACACACACCCCCACCCCACACACACACACACACACACACACACACACACACACACTAGTCCCAGACCAGTCCCAGAGCTAAGAGGTATGTCCTACGAGGAGAGGTTAAGGGAAATCAACCTGACGACACTGGAGGACAGGAGAGATAGGGAGGACATGATAGCAACATACATATTACAACCCAGGATTCCAAATGGCCTGTTATCCTGGGTGTAAAGGGAGCAAAATAAACACAGCAGAAAAAGTTTAGACTTATATTATCCTTCACCAATTTAGAACAGCAATATGTACACTATGTACAGTGATAAGTATAGTGCACTCCACGGTAAGCAAGGCAGAAATAGAAGCCAAAAGATAGCAGACCGTGCTTCAACCAGCTCTAGAATGGAAATGACAAGGGCAGACAGGAGAGTGGTACCCACATAACCTCTGCGATTGCCAAAACCATCATCTTATTGGCTGGAACCTCGTCACTAGTTGAACGACGGGGCCCCATCAACTCTCAGCAACCTGGTTCGCTGGTTGGGGGAGATAGCCTGTAAATGAGGGTGTGTACATGCGCCGAATAAAGGTTATGTACTCTTTGCATGCCACACCCCCACCCCGAGAAGGCTCAGGATTAGGCTGCCACCCCCAGTGGTAACCGTGCCGCCATGGCACAAAATAATGGGACCACCTTTCCTCTCCACCATCCAACTCTTAGAGCTCAGCTTTTCTAGTGACCAAAAGCCAAACCCTAAACTCAGAGTGAGACAGCAGTCAGTCGGGCTAGCATAGGTCCAAGATACAGGCGGACAGTAGCCCGCATCCCCTCACTAAAAAAAAAACCCACACCAGGGGATAAAAAAAAAGAGCGTGGAAAGGGTTACCACAAGTAACCTAACATCCTAACCTAAGTAAATAGAATATTAGACTCTAGATAAAAAGTCTGCCAACACATTTTCTTTGCCAGCAATATGTACAATTTTGATATTAGAGGGCTGCAGCCTTAGTGTCCAGCACATGAGCCTTGTGTTGTGGTTCTTCATGGCTTGGAGATATACTAGAGGATTGTGATCACTGTAGACGGTGACCACTGCGATGTCTGGCCCTATAAAAAATCGAAAAAGCTCCAAAGCCAGTACCAGCGCGAGGGCTTCTTTTTCGATGGTAGAGTAAGCCCTCTGATGTGGCTGGAACTTGGCTGAAAAGTATGCTACAGGCTGCAACTCCTCATTTTCGTTTTGTAATAGTACTGCCCCAACCCTAGACTCACAAGCATCAACCTGTAATGAAAAAGGTTTGGAGAAGTCTGGAGACAAGAGAATGGGTGCAGTACACAATATTCTTTTTGCTTTGTCAAAAGAAGTTTGACAATCTGGGGTTCAATTAAAGGAACTTGTGACTGGTACGAGAGGTAAGGGGGGGCCCCAATATCTGAAAATTTTTACGGAATCTTCTGTAAAATCCTTTAAAATGGGCCTAGGAAACGTTGAAGAGATTTCCTATCATGAGGAACTGGATAATCTTTAATAGCAAGAACTTTAGCAAGTTTTAGGGCAACTTTACCACTACCTACTTCATGGCCTAGAAAAGTGATAGTGGCCTGGCCAAAGGAAAAATTTAGATAAATTAACTGTTAAATGGGAACTCTGAATGGTCTCAAAAAAGAGCCTTAAGTTAAGAGGTTGTGTCCAAAGTATCGACACCACAACAATATCATTAGTTTGCTGCGTGCTTCAAGTTTTAATAGCCTGATGGATAAGTTTTGAAGGGAAGAGGGGGAAATTTTTCACCCGAAGGGGTACGTGTATTGTAATGGACCTCAGGAATACGAAGGCAGAGATTTCCCCTTCGTTATCGCAAAGGTACCTGATAGTAGTCTTTAAGGAGATCTAATGGACACAAAAGTAGCCTACCCACAAAGAAATTACGTCATCCAGACGGGGAAGAGGGTAAGCATCTGTAATTGTGACTCATTCACCTTACGGTAGTCTGTACACCATACGAAACTCTCATAGTTTTCTTAACAAGGATGCACGGTAAAGGGCCACGGGCTAGAGACCCCTTAACAAAAAATTCTTTTTTTTGAAGTAACCTTGCTTTTCAGGATTACTTGTAGGGGGAGAGTTAATAGGTTAGAGTTTCCACATCTACATCATGATAACCTAAGTAATTTTTTTCGGAATCGAAAAAATATTAGGATATGGATGTGGAAGTCAGTTAAACTTGTTGCTTGCGTTTCAGATAGTCCTCCATTAAAGGGCTAGGATCTTGAGGAGGACAGAATTGAAAGTTTAAAAATTAATTTCAGAGAGAGTGCAAAGAATCAGAGTGTCCTCAGAGGTAGGGGACGAGTCATTAGGACTTTATCTGGTGTACGGGAAATATTTTAATTGATTAATGTGGTAAATTTAGTTTTCGAGGCCCTTATCAATGGGAGCTACCACAAAATTTTTACATCAGATAATCTACTTAAAATTTGCATAGGTCCCGTAAATCTAGCTTTCAAGGTGTGGCCAGGTATAGGTTCCTGCACCAACACCTTGTCTCCTGGATGGAAGGAGCGGAATTGTGCACTTCTGTCATACCTCTGTTTCATCTTTGAGCTGTC